ATATAAGCCCAGTATATACATTATAAGTTGTTGCTAGAAAATCTTAAAATCAGTCAGGAAAAAAAAGAGACTGAAGTTATGGAAAACTGAAGTTTTTTTGTTTTTTGTTTTTTGTTTTTTTAATCAAAACAGAATCTCTCTGTAATTCCAGCCTGGCCTTGAACTCAGAATAGCCCAGACTGGCCTCTGATTCATGGTGGTCCTTGTGCCTTTGTCTTCTGACTACTAGGATTATGGGAATGCAACATCACACCCAGCCAGAAAACTAGAATTTAATACCCACTAAGTTAGATAATAAAATAAAATTATACTTTTTTCTTAAATGATACTAATTTCACATTTCTAGAACTATAAATACTGGATGATATTAAAAATAAATTCTGAAATCTAAATATTAACACAAATGCTTGATTATTTACTTGTAGCTAATATATGCCATTATTTAATGTATGGTAAAATGATAAAATGTTTTCTAAATCTGTGATTATTTCTTAAAAGTTCCTCAAAGTAAAAGTCTCATAAACTCAGGATGTACCATGACATCATTCTTTGATGATTTTTTATACCCTTATTTTAGCTAAACTTTTTAAGTCATATGTATCTAAAACTTGTCTACAATATTCCACTTTCTTAAAATACTTTCTTAAATACATGTCAATAAATTTTCAAAGTATATCTATAATTTCAAAGAAGTATGTTTGATAAGTAAAGTAGCTTCTGCTTTAAACATTTTTTTAAAAATCTGAAACCAACTTAAGTTTTTTATAAATTACCATTTCAGGGTGAGAGTTTCTGTTTTTCTCCGTATTTGGACTAGAGAGATTCCCTTCAAATAAATAAAAACAATTCTTGAAATAATAATTTCAAATTTGAATTTTATTTTGTTCTTTTTTTCATAAAATAATAAGTAGCAAAAATTTAATACAAAATCTATACATTTTCCTAGTTTGAGGAGAAACTGCTTTATGTGGATTTAGTGACACCTCGTATACTCTGAGTTGAAGAAGTTAGCCTTATCTGAGAAGTTGCTATTTTTAGGTCCAGCTGTAATGTTTCTAACTTTGGTACTCGGAGTAGTGGGTGCTTCCTTTCCCAGAAGGCTCTGTATTCTCAACATGTGCAAGTCAATTTGACATAAAGCTACCTACAAGGAGCAACAGGCCCTTTGCAGGCTTCTTTCTAGTTGGAAAATTATGAGCAGGTATTGGGAACCACAGGCTGTATTTGGGAACCAGCTACATATCAGGACAAGCATGGATTGTGGTCCCTGGAGGCTGGGAAAACACAATGCTTAAATTAATTTCTTTGTGAGATAAGAAGAGAGATACCTTTCTGCCTGACAAGACTGACAGCTTATTAAATCTGACTATCTTCAGAAGTGTGCTGGACAGTTGCGAAGTAAATGTTCACTTTTCAAAGATGATGATTAAGGAAACATCTTTACGAAGGGACCCGGATTTAAGAGGAGAGTTAGCTTTCCTGGCAAGGGGCTGTGATTTTGTTCTCCCGTCACGATTTAAGAAGCGGTTGAAGTCATTTCAGCAAACACAGGTTTGAAACTTGGGTGTTTGTTTAAAATATTTCATTACTAATAAAACCACCCAGTGAACTAAAACTAACTCGAATACTTTTATAGCTTATAGCTTACTTATATCTTGATGTTAGATCAAGGAATTAATCTGTGTTCCCTATTCAGCTATTTGCAGAAAGCTATTTGTAGAGGGATTCCAACAGGTTTAAAAATAGACCTTCTGGACCTGGAGTACAGTACTCACATTTTTTTCTCTTGTACAGAGGGAATCCAGTTTTGGAGAAAATAAATACAACCTAACAAATATCTTATAAGGTAGCCAGAAAAATACTAGAATCTTTAATAGAAATATTTTTGAGAAACTAAAATTTCTGTGTTAAAAGCCTTATTTGCCCTTTGAATCACTAGCCTGTTATTAACATTCTTGCATCTGTAATGAATGTTTAAAAAGTATGTTGATACTGGTAATATTTGTAAAGGCCGTATTTTTATACGTAAATAATTATGTGATATATATGTATATATGAATATGATAAAGGATGGCAGTTCTTTCTACATTGTGAAAAATGTCTTCCCCTCAGCAAACCGAGGTTTAGCGATTTCTACCTGGGATGACTACTTCACAGAGTCTGCATTCTTGCTTACAACCTTAGGGCCAGTGTCTTACCTCACAAATAGTCTAATATTGACTGTAATATAAATCAAAGGCTATACTAATGCCAGGTATCCAAATTCCATCAAGAAACCAGAATTTCATTGTTATTCTGACCCAAAATAATTTTAAATTAGGGGTGAACTGTGTGAAATTTTTTTCTCTCCTCTTTCTTTCCTCTTTCTTTCTCCCTTTCTCCCCTCCCTCTCCCTTCCCTCCATCCCTCCATCCCTCCCTTCTTCTCTGTCTCTCTCTCTCTCTCTCTCTCTGTCTCTCTGTCTCCCTGTCTCCCTGTCTCCCTCCCTCCCTCCCTCCCTCCCTCATTCCCTCCCTCCCTCTGTGGTGAGTCCAAAAATGCTTAAATACTGGAAATGCTACAGTGGCTACAGTTACGTAGTAGTATAAGGGATGTTAAACAGATTGAATAAGAGATTCTGTGTTCATAGGGAGAGACAGAAGTAAACTGGTACTTTACCCAGCTTATTCTTTTTTGAATGTTACTGCCGTCTTGAACTGAAACAGCTTTACTTAAAAAGAGATATTATTCTTGCCAGTAAATCTGGAAAAAATTATTACTATGTTTTATTCTACAATGTTGGTAAAGGATCAGCCTTATTGCACTACTTTAAGGTTCAAATTGTGTTTCCTGTTGAATTCAGTGGAAAATATATTGATATACCCAGAAGTTCAAAATAAATGTATTATTTTTATATTATTTTCCTTGTAAATACCACCACTGTCTTATTATATGTAGCATTAACCAGCAAATTAAAATTTTCCTGTAACTTAATTGCTATATGTTGAGAAGACCACAAACAAAAGCATATAGTATACAATCAAATGTTTTCGGATTCAAATAAAAGCTTTGACAGATAGGCTTTGTCTGAATGTCATTTAGCCTTTGTTCTGAATGTCATTTGCTTCTGTCAAAGCAAAACCATAGCTAACAGTGACAGTCTTACTCTAAACTTCTCTCACTAGTGTGTGTCCCCACTGGGACCAATGGTCCTAATTCTGTTGCCATAATTTCCCTAAAATTATCCATAACTGCCCTGGATATCATACAATGGAAAACATTTTGGAGGAAAAAAAAGAATTTTGAGAATTGTAACTAGTATTCTCAAAAACCCCTGTCTATATTAAATAATGGAAATGAAATTGCCGTAATATAAGTGACCTAGATAAAGCCCCTAAAGAAAAATCTGTCTTATTTTGGAATTTCAAGAATACTTCCTGTTACTGACTCATGGTACTGTGTAATAACACTTTTAGATTCATCATTAAAGAAAAAATAAATGGTTACTTGAATACATTGTTGATTTCTTAAATGTAGTATGAAACTTTAAGTTGCTTTACAAATGGAAATATCATTGAAGCTGAAAGATGATCCCATATTATGTATAATTTAACCTCTTGAGACCCTCCTACCCTTTGACTTTGTTACTCACTTTATTTCCTGAGGACTGATCTACCCCCAGCACTGCTGAGAAACATTTACCTATCTTACATTCTATAATTCCCTTAAATCCTCACAACAGTCTTCCAAGGAGTTGGGGTTATTACTGAAATTTTAAAAGGTTAAGTAACTTTCTTAAGTTCACAGACTAATAAGCTCTTAGTCTTATCTATTAAGTTTTTCATGTTTCATTGGTATCATTTCCATCCCTCTGTGCTCTCTTTTCACTATGGTTTAATATGAGATCATTTTCAGACTTTAAACCTGTATTTAAAGTAATTTAAGGAAAAACATTTGCATAATTGTTTGTGTTCACAATGAATTTAAAATAAATTTAGTAGCCATGTCCATCTTTTATAATTTATGTAACATTGACACAGTGCTATGGTCATGAGCCTTGGTATATAACTTATAAATTAAAAGTCTAAAAATCTTGGATCTTTACTTTTTCTGCTAGGAATCTCAGTCTTACACTGGTAAAAATAAGTTCCTACCTGAATGATGATACACCTCCCTTCCCCTTTTCCTTAATCATGAATAATCTCAATCTCCCCATCACCTTTCACTCCTCTTTCATTGTTCTTTCTAATATTTCTTTATGGTACATCACTCAGATACACTTTGGAAAATGGAAAAGATACAAACTATGAGTTAATTAACTATTAAGTTTGAGTTTGGTTGTGATAAAATTAATAAGTACAATCCTTTCCTCTTAAAGTATACCCAAACAAGAAGTAAATGTGTATCTTGGGAAAGGTGGCCATGCCTCTATTGTTAAGTAAATTAGCCAGGACTAAAATACTTTAGTTTTCATAACAAAGATTTCCTCTCCAGCTGGTAATTATTCCACCTTGGCAAAGTTGAACTAGAGAAAAAAGTGAAAGTAGCTCCCTGCCCCAAATAAATTTTATATCTGTATATTTAAAAAGAATTTGTTTCTGCTAGTTAAAGAAAAAGCATAAATTTACAGAAAGACTGAGAACATTTTTCAAAAGGAATTTACTAATCCGTTTCCAAGAGACTAAGCCATATTACTCAAGATATTTACTGTATCAACTGACCTTGTTCTTTGCTTATTTTGAAATGTCTACCACGTGATTGAGGGGTTAAATTTTGCAAGAATTTTAAAACAAATCTATGTAAACTCAAATACTGAAAATAATTAATATATTGATTTATTTAATATGGACGCATTCCCTTGAAAACATGCTTACTGACCTGTAGTAAAGTTAGCCCTTGATTCTACTGTCTGAAGTTGTGGTTTCTTATATTTATACAAGACTTCCTATTACTGATGAGAATGCTCAAGAAATATATACAGTTTAGAATTTTTGTGTCTTATAATGTCATTTTTCTTCCAGATTCAAAATAAACCAGAAAAGAAACCTGGCACGCCACTTCCATCTCCCGCCACCTTTTCAAGTAGTCCCCAACCTCACCCTCCTATTCCTGCTGTAAATAATGTTGTGAATGCACCATTGTCCATAAACATTCCACGGTTCTACTTTCCTGAAGGACTCCCAGATACCTGTAGTAATCATGAACAGACTCTAAGCAGAATTGAAACTGCTTTTATGGATATTGAAGATCAGAAAGCAGATGTGTATGAAATGGGGAAGATTGCAAAGGTAATTTAACTACTAAATAATTAATAATTCTCATTTTTCTAACAGTCCCAATATCCCTTGCTTTCTTGCCTCTTTACTTTTAAGCATGCATAGGGCTTTTTCCCATTTTGAAAAAAGTCATTTGATATTGATGCATCTCTAACTATGATCCTACTTCATAGAATCTTAAGTTTAAAAACAAATTTTAGTGGTATTCTAATCTAACTTCCCATTTATATAATAATCCCTTTTAAGACATCAATAACCATTTCATAAATACATTCTTTATTTGAATACTTTCAGTGACTAGAAGCTCACTCACTTGCTATGTGGTCTGTTCCATGTTAAATAGCTTTGATTAGAAAAATTTTCCTTATAGTGAATAAGAATCTCTTCTGTTCTGATTCATTAATCATTATTCTGCCCTGAAGCCAGACAAGGAATTGTTAAGCCATTTCAGCACTATCATTTTATCCAGAAATAAATAGATATAACCCTGGGAAGCAGCACTTTGGTAATTTCGCATATATTCAACTGCTTCTGACATAAAATCCTCCCCCCAAAACTATCAATATTGACCATGACTATAAGGTTACACATAATCAGGTTGACCCTCTTCCCTCCAAATATTCCCCTGGCTGAGGAGCCCATTCTCCCTGTTCCTCCACATCCTCCTGATTCCTGCCTTATGTCCTGTCCTGCTTAATGACTCACTGGTTGATTAGCACTCCATGGATTCAGTGAGAGGAGAGCAGAAATCTTCAACTCCAGAGCAGTCAGAGAGGTTGTGGAAAGTTGGGAGTCTGGATGGCAGAAGTCAGAGAAAGGACTCTGCCAATTACAAGCAGTTTAAAAAAAGTCAATGTGTGGCAGCACAGAATGCTGCCAGGGTTGAAGTTGACAACATAAAAAGTTTTCAAAATAGAAAACTATTTTGTTTAGCCAAGTAATAGCCATTTACATAACACTTTACTGTTTAATATCTAATAATAATAAGCATAATAGCCATTTTACATTTATATGACTAACTTATCAAAATTATACTTGATTATAGCCCTAAATTTCATTTATGGAAGCCAAGCCTATGTGTTTCATATTTTTAGTCTTCAGTTAGCAGGTAAGATAGCAAGGTGAACTACTCATGCTTTTAAAAAGTTAAAACTAGCTTTACACATAAAAATAAGGATGTGTATGATGACTGTAATGCTCATCATGAGCTGGGTTCATTACACACTTGTAATCCCAGCACTCAGAAGGCTAAGGCAGGAGGATCACTGTGAGTTTGAGGCCAGCCTGGCTACATAGTGAGTTCAAGGCCAGTCTGAACTGCATAGCAAGACCCTGTCTCAAAAAACAAACAAACAAACAAAAACCACATCATGTGGATATCATTTTGTGTTTTATTTTTGATTATTGAACCAGCTCATTTTGTAAGATTTTGCCACTTTATTCTTAAAATCATTTATTTAAAATTGATCCAGTCGTGTCTTCCCATTAGCCATTTTTATTTAATCTTTTTACTTGCTTATAACATTCTTAGCATTCATTGTATTACCCTTATTTTCAATCATTGTTTGTACTGTGCTGCTTTTTGTTGTTGTTGTTGTTGTTGTTGTTGTTGTTGTTGTTGTTAGGAAACCTCAAGCATTGCCTGCAGCACATACTGCCCATAGTGTTACAACATGTTGACTTAGGGAAGCCTGAAGAGAGGTGGCCTTTAACGGTCAAGGAAAAGAGACCATCACAGCAATAAATGAATGTGTTTATGGTTTCTTAGAGTTTATAAAGCTGTTTGCAAAGCCAGATTGAGTTTGCAACCTACTCTTTGTGGCATTTAAGTATAGCCATAAAGACTAGGCTCTGTTTTTTAAGTACAGAGCAAACTGTTTATGAAATCGGTATCTGCTGGTACAGTTTATCCCATTCATCTTAAACCTCAGACAGCCTTGGAGAGCTTTAACACCCATGTCTGGTTTAGTTCTTACTGTGTAGCTTATACTTAATGGAGAAAAAAACAAATGGAGAATGAACCTAAGAGGAATGAAAGCAACGTGAAAAAGAATCTGAGTAACACAAAGAAAAGTATTTGTCAGACACGGGGTCAAAAGATTCATCATAAAGTTTTATCCTCCAACAGAAACCCAAAGAGGAAAAAATAAAGCTCTGAACCATGTAAAACACTGTATTGCCCCTCTTTTAGTTTTAATAGCACCTATACAGCAATCTTTCTAAAATTGAACTTCTTCCTCTGCAAAATAGAATAAAATTACCTGCCCTCTTCTACATGGGGATCATGTGAGGATCAAATGAAATCATAGCCACAAGACATTCTAAACTGGTGAAAGAACTTACAAATATTGGGTAATTATTTCCCATGTGAATCTGTTGAAAACCTTGTTGTCACATTCTTGATGTTGTAGGGCTATTCTTTGTTCAAATCATAGATTTTAGTCAAGTTTTCCTTGACTCAAGACTGTATGCTGACTTTTGCTTCCTCTAAACCTCTTTCCTAAATTTATTTTCCCTTGTCATCCATGTCCTTCCTTTGTTTTAAAAAAAAGATTTAACACTGGTTTGTTCTCACCTGTGTTAATAAAAGTTCTGTTTTGTTGCCTTCAGATTATTATTATTTTAGGTTCTCTTTGATCTCCTGACTCCTTTTATCTTCTTTAATTTTACATAGATGCAGGTCCATATGTTTTTTTTAAATAGTCAAACGTCAGTGCCTTTGGCCATGATTCCCCCCTTAGCATTTTCTCCAAGAGCCTGATTCCTCAAGCTGCCTAACACTTGGGTACTCAGGGCAACTCAGTATGCAAAAAGTCTGGCCTTTTTCAATCTGTTCAAAATATTTTCCTTGTATATTTTACATCTTAGGGTTTTGCGTTTGGTCTATAAGTTTGTACATTTTAAAGGAGTTTTTTAGAGAAGACATCTGATAGGAAGAGCTGAAAATTATTTAAAAGGGAAATTGCCTCCATTATGTGTAGGAAGCAGGCAGCTTGGGACTGTTTCATCTGAGGCTGGTGATTATTGCCCAACTCAAGATAGAAGCCTTCTGACTCCTTCCAATTCTAAATAATTTATAAGTGATTCTAGTGATTCTAGTGGTGGAAGTTTCAGGCCCTTTAACAAACAAATTTGTTTTTCCCTATACTGTTTGTGGTTCCCCCACTTCCATAATATAGACTACTGTTTTAGCTTTTCCAAAATTTGCAGTAACCTGCAAAAGCAACCATTCCACATGAAAGGAGAGACTGGGATTAGGAAGCTGAATTTGACACTTGCACACCCAAAGTATATGAATTGTGAGCTTTGTACTTTGGTGATTATACAATAAACAAAATCAAGTGGTTGTTAAGTAATACCTTTCCCTCATTTTTTATCTCAGTAGAGATGTTCAGCCTCTTCACGTAAGAAATCTTAAATTCTACTCTGCTTCTAGAACATACTTTCTTGAACATGGTGGTGGCAGGCTCTTATTTTCGCCCTTTCCTTGCCTCCCATGGCTTGCATTTTTCTTTCCGTCTCTTCATCTTTGTCATAAACCTGCAGCAACCTTGAACAGTCTCTTGAGCTAACTAAAGTCAAATGAGGTACTCTTCAGACATCTCTGGGGATCTTCTGTACACTGAGGCCTCACACCAGGAGCAGTTCACCTAAACCTGAAGTGGATACACATCTAGTCCCCCTCCAAAGAGAGTCGTAGGTTAATGACTCAAGAGAGTTTCAATGGGACACTAAAGAGTTCTAAATTTTCTGTGTATGTAAAAAAGTCAGGAAGATTTGGAAACTATCTTCTAAAGGCTAAATATTATTAATTATAGAAAATAATTTTACCTGTAGAGAAAAGGTAGATAAATTTATTAAGGACTCTTTCTTACAAGAGTAATACAGTAGGACAATTTCTTCTAATTGAAAAGAAGACTCTTACTAGGGAGAGAAAAAAAGTCCTTGCTTTTTAGGGTATTTAATAGTTTTTATGTTTATCCCAGTTTCTACTAATGCTTTTATAATATGTAGTTGTGATAGCCTCTGATATATAAATGAAGGACTTCTAAGATTAAATGATAGCATTTTGATTGTACCTTTCATTTACTTAAATTATAACCATTTAATAAATTTGATAGCTGTGTTTCTTGAACAAACTGGGATTTCTTGGTCCTTTTTGAACTTAGGATTTTTACTAGACAAAACAGGAGGAAGAGAATAGGCAATAAAGTGTTTGAACACCATGTGGCCCAATAATAAAGATGACTGTATTTTTCTGCCCAGGAAATGAAAGATACATACAACCATGATACTCAGTCATTTCTATTTTTTCCTAGAAGGCAGAAATATACCATATAAGAGAAGCAGAGAGGGGGATTGCTTTTGTTACTATCAGGTCTGAGACTATCACTATAAATGAACATGGGAAGAAGTTAAATGGCTTTCCATTTTCTTCACAAAATTTTATTTCCCATCTGTCAGTCCTCCTCGCTTCAATCTACCTACTTGATATATTTGTCCCAACCCCAGTTTTATTCCCCCAAGGACTTTTCTATACACCATCACATGGAGAGTAAATGCCACAAAGACCTTTTCTTTGACTGTGCCATCTCTTCATTGCCTCATGGCTCACTGTGTTTTATTTTTTATTTGCAGATCTGTGGCTGTCCTCTCTATTGGAAAGCCCCCATGTTTAGGGCTGCAGGGGGAGAGAAGACTGGATTTGTGTCAGCACAATCATTCATTGCCATGTGGAGAAGGTAAATATGTCAGCCATCACTCTAGAGCAAGGGGAAAAGATTGTATGGTCTTTATTACGTGCCTTATGAAGGTCACTCATTTTATTCATTTTCCTTTTATCCCTTTTTCAATAAAGAAGATTCAGTAATTCAGTCATTTTTACACACATACAAATTGTTTGCCATAACCTTTATTTTACATGTCTTTAAACAGTAATGTGGAGCTGCCAAAATACCAAATAGCTATTTAATGTGTGTGTGTGTGTGTTTTGGCTTTTTAAATCTAGCATCAAGTGTAGTTCAGCAAGTTCTTCATTATATTAGAACTAAAGCCATCAGGCTCTCTATAGATAGATAGAGCTCTATAGATAGGTAGATATGTAGGCAGGTAGGTAGGTAGATAGATCTCTATGGATAGGTAGGTAGATAGATCAATAGATCTATGATGTAGTACAGGGAAATAGTAAGAGTTACTGTCTCCAATTGACACCTGAGAAAACCAGGTACCCTAAGGCAAGAGTGAAAGAAAAGGTCTGATATAGACAGATAAATGAAAAGGGAATCTAATCCAAGGACTCAAGAGGCTGAGGCAGAGGATTGTTGCAAGTTCAAGACCAGCCTGAGCTACAGAGTGATCTCAAGGTGAGCCCAAACTGCATAGCAAGACCTGGTCTCCAAAAAAAAAAAAAAAAACCACCATATACACGCACAAAAAGAGAATCTAACTGGACCAAAACCCACTGCTTAGGGAGTGTGTGAGGGAAGACCAAACCACTCCTGAATCATGGTACACACACACACACACATATACATATCTCTACCCTAAACCCAATTTAGGGTAAACATCCATCTTGGGAGAAGTGATGACCTGCTAATGGCATAGGCTTACAGTCATTCTAACCTCCATGATAGGCTTAATGAATGTGATACATGCAAGCTGGGGAGTCAAAGAAGCTCAAAGCAAAACAGGCAAAATATGTCCTGAAAACTAGTACTAGAAGACATACTAATGGCAAGACTATGAGGAGAGAACTTATCCAACATACAAAAAAAAAGTTGCTCATTTCCCCCTCACATGGTGGGAATGTCCTCCTTGTGGCACATTCAGTGTACTGCTCTCAATTCCTAGCAGGTTCCTCTGTGAACCCCCAGGGACCTCCTAAATGGAACTACAGGGATACTTAAAACTGGGACAGAAAGTGGAGTGTAAGAGATCTGTGAAAAGAAAGACATACTGGTTCCCAAGTCAAAAGGCAATTCATAGGAGCCAAAACAGAGTGTGCAGTCTCCTTATATATACTTTCCCCAAATACTCAAAGGGCCTAAGACAATTTGAGATGCTGCACACCACCTCATGCTGGCATAGTGGCCCCTTCAGTGGGTAGGTCTGAGACACAACTGTGGACAGAGGGATAAAGAACAGTGGCTGAGGTCTTCTGGCTACATACTAGGCCAAGAAATCCACTGGAGAGAAAAGCCTTGGGAGAGACGACATGGAAATTACCATATTTGCCAGGCAGTGAAGATGGCGAGAGAATGTGAGTTTCGTGCTAAAAACTGAGAACTGGGAGTAGGACAACCTACATATTTGCTTCCTCCAAATTAATTGAGGCAGTTAGATCCTGAGACCAATATGGAGACTGCTCATACCCAGAGCACAGCTTGCAACCAGTACAACACTGATGTGGAGGGAGCAACAGGCCCCAACTGCTTTGGGCAGGCAATTGCCAGGTCCATGGTAAGAAACTGCTTGACTACACACAATCAGACTGTGACTTCAGTGTAAAGTGGACTGTATAGACACAGACAGTTTGGGTTAGTGCTGTAAAAAATGTATCAGAGGTTTTTTTTTGGGGGGGGGGGTTGTTTGGGATTTTGGTTTTTGTTTATTAGTTTTTGGTAATTGATGTTTCCTTGCTTGCTTGTTTGACCTGGGTTACAGTATCTTGGATTTTTTTGTTTTGTTTTGCTAGCACTTTTTCTTCTTTTTTTTTGCTGCTTTGTTGATATTGTTCTGCTATTATACTCTATTCTTTAAGATTTCTCCCTTTGACCTACTCTCTTTTTAGTCTTCCATTTTTTTTACTTTCTCCTCCATATTATTTTTCTTTTCTCATTTTCTCACTTCTTTGCCTTCTTTCTCTTTCTCTGCACCTATTTAACATCATATATATGGGATGGGGAGGACCACCAAAAAAGAGTATATACACTTCAGTAGTTCACCTTACTAATAAATATCTAGAAGCTAATGACCAACACTTTGAGTGCTTCTCATGACTGTAGAAGCCAAAGGTAACTTGTGTTAATCTCATGATATCTCAAAAATTTAGTACTAAAATATTTATACAAGTTTTTCTTTTCCTGATGTATACATTTTTGGAGCTATATAGATAAAGATATAGATACTGACATAGAGATAAGATATAGATATATAGATACACATATATATGGATAAAGAGAGAAAGTGTGTGCGTGTATGTGTGTGTGTGAGCAAAAGCTCCAGCACTTCCTAAACCTCATTGCAGTCTGGGAAGTTTATATTTGTAATCCCATGGGAAAGTTATTGGAATTCTCATGAGTTAATTCTCATCTACCACTTCCAGTGCAACCCTTGGTTAAAATAAAGACTAAGAGGAGTTAAGGGGGTCCTAAGTCCAGCTAGAGTGACAGCTAACTGGAACAAAGGCCTTGACCCAGGACCAAACTCAGGTTTTATTAATTCATGAAAAAGGGAGTGGCTCAAGAATGAGTGACATGAAAGTGGTCAGAAGTATATGAGTGCTGTGAGCTAGGCTATGTAGAATACCTGAAATTACCTCTACATATGCAGAGAGAAAGATATGTAGGAAGAGTAATCTGCATAGCACAATTTGAAATAGTATCTAATGTTTTGGGATCAGTGTTTCAGCTCTAATATGTAACCTTTTTTGCTCTGGGAGGTCATAGCCTCTTATCTCAAGGCTTGATCCCAGCTGGCAGCATGGAGCGTGGCTCTCCTTCCCATTAGTTCACGCATCCTTTTGGGGAGCTATGAGGCAGGGCAACACTGACCTGTTCCCTTGCTTCAAAGACTATGCATCAGCACTTACGCTAGACTGATTTGCATGCTTAAAGCCAACTGAAGATACAGGCAAACAGTGCAATAAATCATCAAAAAAAAAATCATCATGACCAATAAGCTTCACCTCAAGAATGCAAGGATGGTTCAACATATGTAAATCAGTAAATGTAGTACACCATTAAACAAAAGTGGGGCCAAAAAGCACATGGCCATCTCAATAGATGGAGAAGAAGCCTTTAACAAAGTCCAGTTTACAGGGAGCTGCTGGAAAATGGCCGATCAGTAAGTAGCAAGGTAAAGAGCCTCTCTGAGAGAAACAGCTCAGATGCTAGAATTTAACATGGAGAAGACCAGACAAAAGGAGAGGAATTCTCATGACCCAGGGTGAAACTAAGGTGGGGGAAAAAAAATATAAAGAAAAACATGGATGGAAGGCTACAGCCAGACGTGCTCTCACCGGAACTGGTCATGTGGTGTGCGAGGCACCACTGGAGTCCAAGGACCCAGGGTCGCAGTGAAGCCGGGGGTTGGTGAGCCTGAGGACCTCGGTGAGGGGACGCATTGCAATAGAGAACACAGCTAGCATGGAGATCTGCTCCGGCCCATGGTGAGTACACAGAGTTTGGTCCTTTCACGGGAGGGGGTGATTGGCTAAGTTATATTTTGGAGTCGGGCAGAACAGTCCCGAATCCAGAACTGTAGTGGCTTCAGTTGGCTGCTCCTGATGCAGAGCAGATTGGTGAGAACTGCTTGGACTAGGTCCAGCCCTGTGCAAGATCCAATAACCAGGGACTAAGTTTCCCCTAAAGCTGTCCTGAACCATTTTTTTCCACGTGGCACACACTAATGTGGTAAAGACCCCGGTGGTTGAACCGCTTGGAAGGGAGGGCCAGCCTGCACTGCCCCTGCTTGTTCCTCAGTGGTCAACAGCAGACTGGAGAGGATAGCAATCCCTAGCCAGCATGCTTCAGAGTAATCATAACCAATACAGAAAGGGCCTGGGACCTTGTCTGGAAGAAATGAGAAACATGACAAGAGAAAGAAACAAAAAGAAGCCTTCAGCCTGCAACTCAAACAATATTGGTCCTGGACAAGTAAACACAGAAGCAATCGGGGCAGCAAACCTGCAGTATCAGAAGCAACATCATCAGACATAAAGAAATATTTTTGTTAAATTATAGAGGAACTCAAAACAGAAATACTAATACAAGTAAAGCAAGATATAAGAAGATTAATAAAAGAAATATTAAGCACTTCTCAAGAAGACACAGATGGAAGAATGAAAGAGCATAGAAAAAGAAGGGAAACCTTCAATGAAGAATTAAAAAAATCTAGAATACATGAAACAGACTCAAAGAGATTACCAAAAACTAAAAACTTGATTGCAAGCTGGCAAAACTGCTTGAAAGAAACTAAAGATAGACTATCAAAACTTGAAGACAGGTTTGCAACATGTGATCACAGAAAGGTCTCTTAAAAATAACAGGACCAGAAAGTAACAATACAAAGGCTAGAATACAATAAGAGGATCTGTAACTTAATAAAAAATGTGAGTGAAGAAGCAAGGGAAAACACAAATTAAATGCAAAGGCTATTCACAGAAATAATTAAGGAAAACTTGTCAGGCATAGGAAAAGGAAAAAGGATATTCAGCTATATGAGGCATACAGAACTCCAGCCACCTACAATCAAAACAGTCAAAATATACCCAGTCATATAATAATTAGAATCCCAGAAATTCAACACAAGACCAGAATATTAAAAGCTGTCAGAGAAAAGAAACAGATCACCTATAAAGGAAAACCCATCAAAATCATGACAGACTTCTCGACACAAACCATCAAATCAAGAAGAGCTTGGAGTGAAGTATTTCAAGCCTTGAAAGAAAATAACCTCCAACCCAGATTGATGTACCCTGAAAAACTGTCTCTCAAAATTAATGGAGAAGCAAGATGCTTTC